TCCACCAAATCTCCCCCAAGGACTTGAACCCCTCAAAGTTATTCATGAGAGTGGTATCAACTTCTTTCAAACTCCTGTTAATCCTGATATTTTGACCTCCTCCTCTGAATCACAAATGTTCTTAATGGCATCTAGAATAATGTTTTCCAGAAGATTTTCAGATTGCTTTTCCCAGATCCATCAAAGGAATCAGTATCCATGGCAGCTATAGCCTTATGAAATGTGTTTCTTAAGGCCGGGCACGGTGGCTCATGCCTATAATCCCAGCACTTTGGGAGGCCGAGGCGGGTGGATCACGAGGTCAAGAGATCGAGACCATCCTGGTCAACAAGGTGAAACCTCGTCTCTACTAAAAATACAAAAAGTAGCTGGGCATGATGGTGCATGCCTGTAGTCCAGCTACTTGGGAGGCTGAGGCAGGAAAATTGCTTGAACCCAGAAGGCAGAGGTTGCGGTGAGCCGAGATCGCGCCATTGCACTTCAGTCTGGGCAACAACAGCGAAACTCTGTCTCAAAAAAAAAAAAAAAAAGAAATGTGTTTCTTAAATAATAAGACTTGAAAGTCAAAATGACTCCTTGATCCATGGGCTCCAGAGTGGATGTTTCTCCTTGTATATCTTCATTACAGCTCTTAAATGACCACATGCATTGTCATGAGCAGCAATATTTTTAAAGGAATCTTTTTTTATTTTCTCCTGAGTAGTAGGCCTTAAATATTCAGTAAACCATGCTATAAAGAGATATGCTGTCATCCAGGCTTTGTTGTTCCATTCTGGAGCACAGGCAGGAGATTTAGCATAACTCTAAAGGGACCTAGGATTTGGGGAATGGTAAATGATCATTGGCGTCAGCTTGTTCTTGAAGCTTTGAAGCCAGGCATATACTACTTCCCTACCTACAAAAGTCCTAGATGGCATCTTCTTCCAATAGAAAACTGTTTTCTTTATTGAAAATCTTTTGTATTCAAAATCTGTAACCACCTTCATCAAGGACCTTAGCTAGATCTTCTGAATAGCTTGCTACATCTTCTCTATCAGCACTTGCTGCTTCACCTTGCACTTTTATGTTATAGAAGCAGCTTCTTAAACATTGTGGGCTAACTCTGCTGGTTTCATACTTCTGCATCTTCTTACCTCTTTCAGCTTTCATGGAATTGAAGAGAGTTAGGGCCTTTCTCCAGATTAGGCTTTGGCTTAAGGGAATGTTCTATCTGGTTTTTGATCTTCTATCCAGATCACTCAGACTTTCTGCTTATCAGCAATAAGGCTGTTGTTTCACTTTCTTACCATTTGTTAGTTCACTGGTAAAAAAAGTATGTTTAGCAGCACTTTTAATTTCCTTCAGAAACTTTTCCTTTGCATCAACAACTTGGCTGTTTGGTGCAAGAGGCATAGATTTATGTCTGTCTCAGCTTTCGACATGCCTTTTAACTTAGTCATTTCTAGCTTTTGATTTTGAATAAGATGTGAGACTCTTCCTTTTACTTAGACCCTTAGATGCCATTGTTGGGTTGTTAATTGGCATAATTTAAATATTGCTGCATCTCAGGGAATAGGGAGGCCTGAGGAGAGGAGAAGAGACAGGAATGGCCAGTCAGTGGAGAAGTCAGAACACACACAATATTTATTAAATTCGTTGTCTATGTGGGTGTGGTTCATGTCACCCCAAAACATTTACAGTAATAACATCAAATATCACTGATCACAGATCAACATAACAAGTACAATAATAAGGAAAACGTGTGATATATTGTGAGAATTACTGAAATGTGACAAACAGGGAAGTGAGCACAGGCTGTTGGAAAAATGGCACTGATAGACTTGCTAGTTGCAGGATTGCCATAAACCTTCAATTTATAAAAAGCACAATAAAGTGAAGTACAATAAAAAGAGGTGCCTATATATATTAACATACTATAATTTTAAAAGAAAAAAGCTTAGATGTCTAACTTATATCCCTTATAAGTGATATAAGTTATGTAAGTGATATGTTATAACTAAAATAAGTATACATATATATTTACTAAGTATACTTAATACATATACTTAAGTGTACTTAATATATTAGTAAACTTCATTTGGATATAATAGTGTTTTGGCTAAATGTGTTCTAACGCTATCTTTTTATAAAAACCATTCAGAATATATTTGAAATTTTTAAATAACTTAAATGCAATATAGTAAATCAAATTGAATCTTTAAATCACATCTTCTCAGGACATCATTTCTTAATGTCAATAATGCGTTAAGATGAAGCAGTCAACTTCACTGGATCAAAAGTTACACTGGGCTGGACATAGCATCTCACACCTGTAATCTCTCAGCACTTTGGGAGGCCGAGGCAGGGAGGATTGCTTGAAACCAGGATCTAGAAGCCAGAATGTTCAACAAAGCCAGACCTCATCGTTACAAAAAAGTAAAGTCAATTTTCTGGAGACGATGGCATATGCCTATAGTCACAGCTACTTGGGAGGCTGAGGCAAGAGGATCTCTTGAGCCCAGGTCTTTGAGGCTGCTGTGAGCCATGACTGTGCCCCTGCACTCCAGCCTGAACTTTGGACTTCAGAGTAAAACCCTGTATGTATATAAAAATAAAGTACACAGATGCTGAGACATATTCTGGAAGCTACACTGTTCGGATGTTTTGTTTTTCATCCTTTGTAGAAATACTTTTATTACTATTTGTGAATTGTTTTTCAAAGTAGATCAGAAAAAAAAAAATCTATTTCATTTATTATTCTCTAAGTACAGTTATCCCTCATTATTCATGGGAGACTAGTTCCAGGAACTTCCCCCATACCAAAATTAGAGAACGTTCAAGTCACTTATATAGTCGCATAGTATTTGCATATAACCTGTCCACATCCTCCCATATGCTTTGTTTTGTTTGTTTGTTTGTTTTTTTGAGATGAAGTCACCCAGGCTAGAGTGCAGTGGCAGAACCTTGGCTCACTGCAGCTTCCACCTCCCAGGTTCAAGCAATTCTCCTGCTTCAGCCTCCTGAGTAGCTGGGAATACAGGTGCCCACCACTATGCCCAGCTAATTTTTGTATTTTTAATAGAGACAGGGTTTCATTATGTTGACCAGGCTGGTCGGAACTCCTGATCTCGGGTGATCCACCCACCTCAGCCTCCCACAGTGCTGGGATTACAGGCGTGAGCCACTGTGCCTGGCTTCTTCTGAACACTTTAAATCACCTCTAGATTGTTTATAAAACCTAATACAATGTAAATGCTATGTGAATAGTTATTATGCTGGGTTTTTTAATTTTGTATTATTATTTTTCCCAATATTTTTAATCCAAGGTTGGTTGAATCTGGTATGTGGAACCCACAGATGTGGAGCACCAGCTGTATTTATTGACCTTCCATGTGCCAGGCACCTTACTAGATTCTGAATTCTTGCCGTCTGTGATCTTACAGTGTACCGTGAAAGTCAGATGCACCACCGTTCCGGTTACTAGAACAAAATATTCTCTTTTCCCCGAATACTGTCTGGTATCCACGAAGTAAAAGTTTCTGTGGAAAAGAAAGATGGGTAGTGTTGGCTTAAACAAGTATTTATTCCTCTTCTATATTCTTCAATAAATTCTCTCTGAATTTACTCAGCTTTGCAAAGATGTACTTGTCCATAGTCATTATTGGTGAATAGTTAGTATAGAATGCCATCTTTGTTCATTTTGTGACCTGCTTGGGATTCTGAAATTATCTTAACTGATTTCATGATTAATCCAATGCCGTTTCTTAAAACTGGAATTTAAGAATTTGGGAAGAAAACTCACATTTCTCAGACTACTGGTAAAGCAGATAGCCACAAATTCTGGGCTTTCTGAACTGTGTTATGACTTCCTGTACCTTTTGGAGCCCTGACTTTGCTGTTTCACCCACTTGACCTCTAATTTTTACTACTGTGATGATATCAAGAGGGAAATTAACTGGAGAGGGATTTTGGCTTTGTCAGGTTGCTGACAAATTAGACAAAGCAATGTAAAGATGGCAAAACCCCATCTCTACTAAAAATACAAAAATTACCTGGATGTGGTGGTTCACGCCTGTAATCCCAGTGGGGAGGCTGAGGCAGGAGAATGGCTTGAACCCAGGAGGTGGAAGTTATAGTGGGCTGAGATGCCACTGCACTCCAGCCTGGGTGACAGAGCAAGACCCTGTCAAAAAAAAAAAAAAAAAAAATTCTGAGGGCTTTCCTTCCATTCTTTCCTGATGCTAAGTCTTCCCATCTTGCTACTGAAAGTGTTTGGGAACTGGCTGCACAGTGGAGCAAAGTAGTTAGTGGAGGACTGGCCAGAAAGGACTGGAGCCCTTGGAGCTCGGAGTCTCACCTGCTTTAATCTCATGCATCAGCTTTCTCCCTTTTTTCCAGTTATGAGATTATTGCCATTATTTAGTAAAATTAATTGAGTCATCACTGTAATGGAATTCTAATTAGAAATTACCTCAATGCAATTATTGTCAATTTAAAAACTTTAACTCAACCAAGGCAGAAGAATCACTTGAGGTCAGGAGTTTGAGACCAGCCTGAGCAACATAGTGAGACCTTGACTCTACTAAAGGTAAAAATTAAAAAATTAGCTGGGGCCGGGCGTGGTGGCTCACACCTGTCGTCCCAGCACTTTGGGGGGCCAAGGCAGACAGATCACGAGGTCCAGAGATCGAGACCATCCTAGCCAACATGGTGAAACCCCGTCTTTACTAAAAGCACAAAAATTAACTGGACATGGTGGGATGTGGCTGCAGTCCCAGCTACTTGGAAGGCTGAGGTGAGAGGATCAGTTGAGCTCAGGAGGTCGAAACTGCAGTGAGCCATGGTGACACCACTGCATTCCAGCCTGGTCAAAAGAGCAAGACCTCATCTCAACAAATAATTATTTTAAAAAATAAAATTAATAATAATCTTTTTCTTTTTTTTTTTTTTTTTTTTTGAGGCAGAGTCTCACTCTGTTGCCGAGGCTGGGATGCAGCAGTACAATCTCAGCTCTGTACAACCTCTACCTCCTGTGCTCAAACGATCCTCCCACCTCAGCCTCCCAAGTAGCTGGGACTACAGGCACATGCCACCACGCTTAGCTAATTTTTGGTAGAGATGGGGTTTTGTCATATTGTCCAGGCTGGTCTTGAACTCCTGAGCTCAAGCAGTCAGCCTGCCTCAGCCTTCCAAGTAGCTGGGGCTATATAGGTGTGAGCCACCACACCCTGCCAAAATAATAACAGTAATGTTTAAGGCTAGTCAAATGAAGCACTGGGAGTGGAGAATAAAAATAAAATTGTTGTACATTTAATTTTTTTTTTAAAGTTACCTCAATCTGTAACCAAAGAAATGTGACTTTCAGTGTTTGAGAGATAAGGAAGGTGATTTCAAGTTCTGTTCTGCTGAGTTTTTAAATTTTTAAGAGCAGTAGTCACTTTATTTGGTTTTTATTAAATCTGGTACTTTAAAAAAAAATACACAGTTACCTCCACCAAAAGATGACTTAATTTAGAATTCCCTTAAATTTCATTTTATTTGTAACTTAGTTTCGAGACAGAGTTTTGCTTTTCATCCAGGCTGGAATGCAGTGTCATGATCTCAGCTCACTGCAGCCTTGACCTTCCAGGTTCAAATGATCCTCTCGCCTCAGCCTCCCAAGCAGCTGGGACTACAGACGTGTACCACAACACCCAACTAATTTTTGCATTTTTTTTTGTAGAAACAGAGTTTCATCATGTTGCCCAGGCTAGTTTCGAACTCCTGGGCTCAAGTGATTCACCCACCTCGACCTTTTGAACCTAGCCCAATCCCGAACTTTTTAAAGTCACAGATTTATGAAACAGTTAAAAGTATATGTAGTTGGAAACTATTCTTTTACCTGCCACTCAGATTAAACTCATTTAAATATTGCTTCTGGCCATGCGCAGTGGCTCAATCCTGTAATCCCAACACTTTGGGAGGCCAAGGCAGGTGGATCACCGGAGTTCAGGAGTTCAAGACCAGCCTGGCTAACATAGTGAAACCCCTTTTCTACTAAAAATGTAAAAATTAGCCAGGTGGGGTGGCAGGCGCCTGTAGTCCCCACTACTTGGGAGGCTGAGACAGGAAAATCTCTTGAACCTGGGAGGTAGAGGTTGCAGTGAGCCGAGATTGTGCCAACTGCACTTCAGCCTGGGTGACAGAGTAAGATCCTTTCTCAAAAAAATGAATGAATGCTTCTAAGTTTATAGTTGGCTCACTTGCTTGCAGATTGTCATTTTCAAGTTTAGTGAACCTGCAGATAACCTAATTGACTCTCTGAAAAGTGAGAGATGTATGTTTATAAATTTTAAGTGGAACTGTAACCAAATGTAGGTTCAGTAGTTGGTGCTTGCAAAATCCAATTAACAAGAGCAAGGTGTGGTATGAAGTGACTTACTCCAAAACTAGGTTAGGGGAAGAAGTACAAGCTTCCTGCCTTAAGGCTCCTCCTGCTTCACTTTTGGAGCAGGAAGTGGGTACTTTTTATAAGAAATATAAAAAGTGTGCCTGGCATAAATGGCACACAGAAGAGGAACCAAGCAGGTAGAGGTTCATGTACTTCAGTGCCTTATCTACCGGGTGGTATAGTTGGCATCTTCATGGGCAGAAGTAGGTTGTAGGGTGGCTAAAACTCTGAAACTCTCCAGATGGTAGAGTTTCCTGATGGACACTCTGTGTTGTAAATTGACTGTTGTCTCTCTAGGCAGTCTCCTGGTGGGTAAGAGTTCCAGAACCACTGCAGAGCTTTTAAGCACATTGTTAGATGAACTTGCCCTAAAGGGAGTGTGTGGTGAAGGGGAGGTAAAAAGGGAGGTAAAATTTAGAAATTGCATTTCTAAAGAGCTAATTAGGGTGTGGGGAACAGGAAATCGAGAAAGAAAAGAAAAAAGATAGCATTGTCTTTTCTAAGAAAAATAACATTGTCTTTTTCTTAGAAAAATGGGGATACTCCGAGAACTATTTTTTTTCTCAGCATTGTTTATAGTTTTACCCATGTTTTGCATGAAGCTGTATATTATTATTACCTGGCAATGTCCCATTATATGACTATTCTGCAGTTCGTCATTTTTGCTATGGATGGATATCTACATTTTTTCCAGTTTCTGGCTACTATAAATAATGCTGGTGTGAAGTTCCTGTTCAGGGATCTTGAGGTATACATGCCAGAGTGTCTCTAGGATCCAATGCCTAAAGGAAAGAATACTTGATCATAGAAAATGAGTATCCTTCAGCCTTACTGGATAATTCCAAATTATTTTCTAAAGCGGTTATAACAGTTACCATTCTCATAAGCCATGTATCAGAGTTCCTATTGCCCCACATTCCCCACACTTGATATTGTCAGACTAGTTTTAGTCAATCTGATGATATTGTGTGGCTCTTAGTTTGCGTTTTTTGATCATTGCTACTGAGCTTGAACATCTTTTCATATACTTGTTGGCTATTTGGATTTCTTTTTGCATAGTATGCGTTAAAAGCTAGATTCTTCCCCTTATAGTCAGTGAATAAACAAGTTCTTTGGAATTCTTGTTATGGGTTTTCTTTGTTTTGTTTTTTTGAGAGAGAGTCTCACTCTGTTCCCCAGGCTAGAGTATGTTAGCATTATCTCGGCTTAGTGCAACCTCCACCTCCCAGGTTCAAACAATTCTCCTGCCTCAGCCTCCCGAGTAGCTGGGATTACAGGTACCCACCACTATGCCTGGCTGATTTTTGTATATTTAGTAGAGACAGGGTCTTACCATGTTGGCCAGGCTGGTCTAGAACTCCTGACCTCAAGTGATCCGCCTGCCTCAGCCTCCCGAAGTCCTGGGAATACAGACATGAGCCATTGCACCTGCCTTTGGGATTCTGGTATAAGGAATTCTCTCCTACCTCAGGATCATAAAGACAGTCTCTCATATATATATATATATATATATATATATATATATATATATGTATTTAAAATGTATATTAAATATGTGTATTAAAATATACATATGTATTAAAAATATATATATTCAAATATATGTTTAATATATATTAAAAATATACATGTTATATTTATATATATACTAAAAATATGTATTAAATTATGTATTTAAAATATACATATTTAAAATACATTTATAAATATATATTTTTTAATATATACATATTTTTTGAAACAGTTTTGCTCTTGTTGCCCAGTCTGGAGTGCAATGGCACAATGTCAGTTCACTGCAACCTCCGCCTCCCAAGTTCAAGTGATTCCTCTGCCTCAGCCTCCTGAGTAGCTGGGATTACAGGCATGTACCATCACTCTCAGCTAATTTTGTGTGTTTAGTAGAGACGGGGTTTCACCATGTTGGTCAGGCTGGTCTCAAACTCCCGACCTCAGGCGATCCGCCTGCCTCAGCCTCCCAAAGTGCTAAGATTACAGGCATGAGCCACCACGTGGCCTATTTTTCTTAAGCTATTATAGTTTTGACTTTCACATTTTGGTTTTTCTCTACCTGGAATTGATTTTTGTGTTTGCTTGGGGAAGTGTGTGTTTCTGGACTCTTGTTGCTGTTCCATTAGTATATTTGTCCTTGTGTCAGTCCCCACATTGTGCTGATGACCTGTAAGTCGTGCTGGTGAGAGGAAAGCCTTCTGTCTTACTATTGTTCTTCAAGAGTTTCTTAGCCCTTGGCATTTCCTCATCAGTTTTAGAATTAGCTTCTCCAGTTCATAGTTACACACTTACACAGATGGAGGTTTTGATAGCCATTACATTTAGACCATAGATCAGTTTTGGAGAGAATTGACCTTACTGCAACTTGGAGGCTACCAATTTGTAACCACACTTCTTAATATCATCCTTGACTAGAGAAGTGATGAGAAAATGGCCCTTGATCCCAGTCACTTCCTGGCCCCTTCTGAGTTGTGTGAAAGAAGGCACACTATTCTTCTGCAGCTCCTTAGACCCGCTCAGAAGAGTTCTACCCGATTCCCCTCATTGAGATGTGGTTTTGTTTGTTTTTTAATTATGGTAAAAACACAAAATTTACAATCTTTACCATTTTAAAATATATAGTTCAGTTGTGATAACTGTTATTCACACTTTTGTGCTACGGATTTCAAAACCTTTTCGCCTTACAGAACTGAAACTATACCCATGAACAAATCCCCATTTCCCCTACTTCACCCACCCCCTGGCAACCACCATTCTTTTTTCTATGATTTGTCTACTTTAAGTACCTCATATAAGAGGCATTAAACAGTATCTGTCTATTTTTGACAGGCTTATTTCACTTAACATAATGTCCTCAAGCTTCATCCATGTTGTAGCATGTGACAGGATTTCCTTCCTTTTTAAGGCTGAATAATATTCCATGGTATATATGTTCAACATTTTGTTTATCAATCCATCGATCATTGGATATTTGGGTTGCCTCTACCTCTTGGCTATTGTGAATAGTGCTGCTACAAAACATGGGTGTACAAGTATATCACCAATAATATGTTTGGAGGTTTTTAAAACCACTGTATACTGCAGTTTCAAATATGGAAGTTTAAGTGCTTAGAAAAGTGGAAAGGCAGGAGTGGGCTTGGGCGTGGAGGCTGCTTTGTGTGAAAGGACCCTTGCTCTTTTTGCCACCATACGTTTAAATGTAGGCTAAGTTGATCATTACTAAAAGTTGATCATGACTAAAGGTAACGGTACAACTTGTTTGTGTCAGAGTCTCACTCTGTCACCCAGCCTGGAGAGCAGTGGCATGATCTCAGCTCACTGCAGCTTCGACTTCCTAGGCTCAAGCTGTCCTCCTACCTCAGTCTCTCGAGTAGCTGGACCCACAAGAATGCTAATAAAGTCTCCCTTCCGTCCCATCCCCTGCTATCCAGCTGCCCTCTCTAGTGGCAGCCAACATTGTCACTGTCTTGTGTTTCCTTCTGGGGGTATTCTATGCAAAAACAAATGCATATTTTTCCCCTCCCTTTTTACAAATGGTGGCAGAATGTGCCCATTTTTAACCTTTATTCTTTTTTTTTCTGAGACCTAGTTTTTGCTCTCTTCGCCCAGGCTGGAGTGCCATGGTGTGATCTCAGCTCACTGCAAC